TATTATTTTGCAAGCTTGCATCTGACCAACAATAAATTATGGTTGGGCTTAAAGGAATTTTCCAATTTAGTGTTCTCTATCGGAAATTACAGCTGAAGATGAACAACAGAATTTCTAAGTCATTTTTTATTAAATAATTTTTTTTAGTGTAATGATTATTTCATCACTAATAAAAATATTTGATTAATTGTTTTCATAAATATGTACAGTACTTTTTCTATCAAAAAATAACATAGACAAAGTTGAAATACGTACAACTTATCTATAATAAACAAATATGGTTCATGGAAAATACGAAAAGTGTTGGTTTATAAAAATTTTCGTACATAAATTTCATTATAAATATATAATAAATACTTTTTACTTAAAATCGATTTTATTGACATTTTTACCAAACTATAGTAACGTGATTAAAATAATGGTTAAAAAATTCTTTCAATTCGTAAATACAACAATGACGAAAGCATTTGCAATAAATACATATTAATATGCAGCCTATTAAATAATTAACAAAAAGAAAAAGTTTTATTAAAAATATACAAAAATATAAAATGTTATAACAATGATTATGCGAACAGGTTATTGCAATGGTTACGTTTACTAAAGCACAAGCTTGGTATGATATGATAATTCTAAAATGTGATCATAAAATGAATGTAACAAGTTGTTTCACCAGTGAAAATTTAACGTCACCTTTACTTTGCATTATTTTTTACCTAAATAAAAAAATCTGCTGTTGGAGAAAAAATCTGATCCAACGCAAAAATAATTGCTTGTTTTATTTCAGCTTTACCTTAGTTTATTAAGTCAGATCTCAATAATATCAAGACAAAAATGAAGTGTTTAAATGAAACGAAATAACAAACGCAAGTGATATAAAATCAGAAAAAACAACAAATTTGTACATTGCCATATTTTTTTTCTTCTTTTCATTCAAAGGTGAAACAACAAATTTGCGTATTTTCTTCGTCACGAAAAATTATGCAAAAAAAAAAAATGAAATAAACTAGTTGAGCTCGCAAACGGCTATTGTGGCGGCAGGAATCACCGTAAGCTCCTCAACGGCCACGAACGCCGTTGCGCAAGCGGCGACCGCGAGCTGCTGACACTGCTGCTGAATCGCTGGTACGACAGATGAGTCCTGAGAACTTACCGTTTTCATTTTTTCCAGGAATTCGCGCTCTTGTCTCGAAATTTCCGGCGTTTGGTAATCAACTGGAATTTTGCTGCCGTGATTTACGGCCTGATCGGTAGTGCTACCGATTTTTCGATCGGTATGGCCGTTCAAGCTGCCGTGGGCTTCGGATTTCGTGTAGCTAATGAGTTTGGATGGAGAGGCGTACGTGTGCTCTTCACGGTGGGTTGTGAGTGCTGGGGGTAGTGGTGGCGGTGGTGGTATGGCGTAGCAGTCGTCGACGATGGTTCGGTTGAGATCCTGGAGCTCGCGATGGTCGAGATGCTCGGTGTGATCGGTAATCGTGTTTGAGACGAGTTTGTAGGAGGCCACTCCAAAGTGCGTGTTGTGCGTGACCCGCAGCGTCGTCGTTTCTGTGGTCTCTTTGATGATTATTCCGTCTTTGTCCTGCGAGAAAAAATAATGTTAATATGCACTGTATCAGTCTACAATAAAAATGACAAGCAATGCACAATAAGTTTTGAAATTTTATTGCTTTTGCGAGATTTTATTTTTTTTAATCCCCTTTTGCCGCCATAGATAAAAAATATAACTCATCCATATTTAACTAATAAGATTACGTTTAAAAATTTCAACGAAAAACATTGTACTTACAAGTCTCTGTAAAACAATATTATTCACACAAATTTTCTGACGAAAAACATTACAACGAAAATTCCTGACTAAAAAGATGTTTTAAGATTTCCAACTATTATCATCGCATCTCAAAATGCTTGGAGGAAAATAATTTTCTGAAATTCTACAATAAAAACTATGAAGGATCTTTTGAAATTTTAAAACGATAAATATTATTACTTTTAGAATCCAAAAGATCGATGGCTCACGTGATAAAGCTTATTTATGAGAAATATGACCACCTTATTGGACTAACCATGTAGTTTATTTTGAGAAGATTTACGAAAAATAATATTTTGACGAATTTCGTTTTGCAGTACTAAACATGAAGTCATTATAAAGTGAAGGATTATTAAAAATTTTTATGGATAAGTAAAAGTCTTATACCATCGCCTGCTCTTCAAATAATGATTATATAAACGAGGACATTGATTAATGGATTAAATAAATACAAATTATCAAATTTATAATATCCATTATGTTGCTGATGGAAAAATGTTAAGAAAATTTTATAAAATAATAATATTTTAATCAAATAATATTTATCTTCAGAAAATTTAAAGCTGCCATTTTTTGTCTATGGCACCCATTTATAATTTATACATTGACAATATTCAATACGATTATTATCATCTTTTACAATAAACAGTTTTATCGTCTATTTAAACTCACTTTTATCGTTCGCTGAATTACAGTCGCCGTATCTGGACTATATTCAATAATATCTTGATCAGTGGGATTTGTCGATTCCATTATGGCCTCATTTATCGTTTCAGAAAGTATCTCGTTTTTCTTTGTCATTTCATCTTCTACTTTACGGCTGTAAACAGAAAAAAACATTTCTTATGAGCTCAAACAAAAAAACTTTTTCATCGATCCCATATGTTAGCCCATTCTTTAATTAATCAATTGTTTAGACGATCAGAAAACTCGTTTACTACCACTCGAGCAAATAAATATATACTTATCTGAGTACTACCAACTGTACTCCCTTAGTATTACCATTGTTGGAAATACATACTACTAAATTAAACAGCGTAAAAGTAAAGACATATTTTAAACATTAATACAAATATAACAGTACTCTTTGGCTGAAAAGTTGTTTGTTTTTGAAAATAAAAAATGAAAATAAAAAATCTATTATTAACGTCACGTAATTGATGAAGAGCCAAAATATTTACATGTTTTTTTTTTCTAACACTGTGAGTTATGAGCCAGTACGGGCACCATGTGGTGTTCCGAATCCCCGTTTAGATGAAAATAAAGACTTAAGCAATGACGATTCCCCCGTCGTAAAAAAATTGTCGCACCTATCGGCAGTTCCGACGACAGCCTCCAAATAATCACGTGATCTGTACTCTTTGCGCGCAATACAAACGCCGGGGGACACAAGCATTGCACGCGTAGCCCGCCTCCTACAAAATAGCTGACAAAGACGCCTGCGCTCTAAATAAACGTGAATGAGCCAAGCGCCGTGCGCCAGAAATAAACCTCATTTAAATTTTGTCAAAAGCACCTAAATGCCCAGTGGTAGGGTACACGCGCTCCCTCCCCCCCCCCTTTCTCATCTTTATACTAAATATTACTCACCAGGTCGTTGAAACGAGGGCATCCTCGTACTCGGACGAGAGGAACGACTCGCTGCGCGACCTTGGGACACTGGAGCACTCGGTCGCCGTCACGTACTCGTCTGCGTTCGAGTCTTCGATGGCACTTCTATCGCTCGCTCGGCTATGGTTGTCCGACTCTTTTGCGTTAGCTTCCTGAACGAGAGAAGAAACATTTGATGATTTTTTTTTTTTTTTCAAAAAGATTTTTAAACTTAAGCTCTCTGGAGCTTTTCGTTTAAAATACAAGGTAGGTATGTTTTTTGGAACTTGTTTGTAACTAACTTCATTTCATAATCTATGGTGGACTACAAGTGTTTTTAAATTATCTACAGCTTCGACAAACCGAACCTTACTTTGCAATTGAAAGAGATACGCTTCTTTGGTTCGTATATCTATAATAAATTCCGAGTCTTCAAGATATTTTTAAATAAATTAATATTTCTACTGTAAACGCATGGTTGCTGTCGCTCGTCTATTTTCGGGGTCGCAACAAGCCGTTTGGAGAGCTCCCGATCGTTTCGTAGAGATACCAGAAGTGACCACTTCAGAAGACAAACTTCATCCCCGTACAGCTCGAAATAACTGCCCCGTCAAGTTTTTCGCAATGATTCATCGATAAAGTATCAAAAACCGATATAAACTTTGATCCACTTACGTCTCTTATTAATCCTCCAAACTGTACGCTTTGCCACTTTATACTTGCGGTTTGATTTATTTACTCTGTATATTTTTGCAACACTCGATTTAAACATGTATTCCTACGATTTTTGTTCATATTATCACATGTATTTTTACTGGAGGGCCAGACATGGCATAGCCACAAGGCCTCAATAAAGCTCAATCTAATCTAATCTAATATAAATCAATTGGTAACAAAAATTTTAGATATGATGCACACACCAGAGCCTCTAACGAACTAACTCAAAATCATTCTCCAAACTCAGCCCGTAGAGCCAATCAGTTAGCAAAGACGCTTCGTTCCTGTGCATCAAAAAATAGCTTCGAACGATCTTTTTTTTTTTTATTTATTTATTTCAAGAAACCAGCAAAAATTTTACGACCGATAGAGCCGCTTCTTTTCACCGCGGTACATCCACGTCTAAAGATAACTTTATCACCATCGAAAAAAAGGTCTCTTTCTCCGACTTTCGAAACCAATGGAAGAAAAAAAAAAGTTCATACCTCCAACCTATTTCCCCGCTGGCTCCCCGCTGCAACAGCCCCCTCTGGACTCCTCCCCACGGCGTCTCTCGCATCTTCGCCCCCTGAGATCCTCCCAGCGTCCTCTTCCCCCCCAGGATTGGGAGCCTGACTCCTCGCCCCGGCCTCGTACAGCTTGGCGTCCAATTTTTCCGCCAGCCTCGTCACCTCCAGCAACTTGGCCGATATCGACTGCACGGCCGACAGGTTGCCCCCCGGCTCGCTCGCCTCGTCCGCGAACTCGGACATTCTGTGTGTTCGCAAAAATCCACAAAGAGATAATATACACACTTGTTATAAGCACCAAACTGCACTTTTATCCCTAGCGCACGGCATAACCGAGAACTTGGTTTTTTTAAATGGACACTTGAAAAAATAAAAAAAAAATAAAGAAAGAAGGAAGGAAAAAAAAAGCTTTTAACCAAACGGGAAGTGTGCCCGGGACGGCTCCGAAGACTGACACGCCGGAAAGTCAAAGTCGCGCGCTGTTCAGTACACCTATATAGCGCGTATATTAGTATATTCTTTGCTTTCGCTTGGTTACGCAATGGCAGGGGGGCGAACAGGGGGAGGGGGAGGGAGTCGCGACTTTTCCAAAGTGCACGGGGGAACGATGCAAAAAGCTCGACGCGCCGGCGTTGAATAGTACGTATAGGTGCGTCTAATGGTCGTTGGGTCTCGTGGGAGAGAAAAGCTGGGTCGCGATCGCGAATCGGGTACACGGCGTGGTGAGCAAAAGAGGCCGACCGCGAGATGAAAAAGATGGTGGGAGTAAGGAGGAGGCTTAAGGGGAGGGTAGCAGATGGTGGATCGTAAAAAAGAAAGTGAGAGCTTTTAGTTTATGAAAGGGTTTTAATGATAACTCATACGTGACAATATTAGACATGCCTTATACCGCAAGCTCATCAAACACAATCGCTCAATTAACAACATCCATTATCCATTTATTGCAATCAATAGTAAAAAATGAAGTGTACGTGTTTTTTATTGATAATTTATACTGGTAGTTCAAAGATTTATTAATTGCTAAACTAATCATAATGAGATTTTTCTGCACTTTTACTCTGCCGTGATGTTTAAATCAGTGAACATTACCGTGAAATGATCCTGAAGAGGATGTACGAACACGGCGAAATATCGACCATTACTGTCAACCAAAAATATGTATACTCAATTTTTGCCTTTCAATTACAGTATTTAAGTATACATTGAAGTGAGAGTGGAGTCGGGAAGAGAATTCCTCCGGAGGATAATAACATTCATTATCATTTTTATTTTATCTAAAAAGTATGTAAATACAATCTATTGGTAAACCAGTTAGTCTAAAACCAGAAGTTGGAAGTATTTAATGGTCTTTTCTTATAATTCTTGTATGTATCCAGCGTATTGTTAATGTGAACAAGAGTACTAGATGAAACAAAAACAAAAAGACACCGAAAGAAATGAGAATCATGACAGAAGATGAGAAAGTAAGGCTTGTGTGGAGGAAAAAATAATAAAAAGGGTAATCTCTTGCGAAAGACGCAAAGGCAACAGAGAGAGAGAGCAAGAGAAAGCGGGAGACTCGAAGAGTTGACGAGCCGAAATTTAGAGTGGACGCCGCGTTTCTAATTCCGTTCTGATCGTGAAGCCTTTTGCCGCTGCCACATGGGCTCACCCGCGCGCGTCATCGTATCGGGAGCGCATTTGCGATGTGTCATTCGTGCCTCTTTCTGACTTTAAATGCCATTGATGAGGTTTTTTTTTATGTTACAGGTGAATCGTCGTTTGGAAAATCGAGCTCTAAATCGTCGATTTACTTTGACACCTACGCAAGCTGTTTCTAGACCTAGGCTTCGAGCGCTTGTTTTTTAGAGCTCAAAATACACAGGCCTGTCAAGTGGATATTTTGTACTTTGTAACGCAGAGCCAACAAAATAAGTCTGAGTTAATACAGTTTTTATGATGGTTTCACCATTGCTTTCTAGGCGATAGGGAAATGGATTTTTATGAAATAATCTTACACAAACCCGTACACTCATCAAAATAATGGGAAAAAGTAGTTCTTTCTAAGAAGTATGACCATAATATTAAATTTTAAGTATGTGAGTTTACATTACCTCTGATGAGCTAACGGTTCCTTTAGCCGTGATCTCAATAGTCGGCCTAGCCGCACCGTCCGTCCAACTTCTGGTAACAACTGTTCCCTCTTTGCTAGCACATCTCTGATCTCGAATTTTATGCGAGTACTTGTGGTGGTGGTACCTACTTTAGTGGTGTCAGTTGCTACAATAGTTTCCGGTGAGGAAGTCACCGATGGTGTGGTTGATCTGCTTCTTTTAGATGTAGACCCAACAGAGCTCACCGTCTCAACCATCTCTTGCAGCTTCGTACAGTGCTGTATGTTGCGTTTGAATAAATGAATATAAGAGTTGGCTAAGTTTGTCGTTGTCTCTATGCACAAAGTATATTTTAAATTTTGAGTGTTGTATGTCTGATTGTAATGGAGTAATTTAATTCTGTAAATTTGGGCTTATCCGTTTCCATGGAATCATAATCTCTCTATTTGGCTTGTTCATTTCATTATCATTATGTATTACTTAAAGGTCGATTCAAATAGTTTGAAAAAGAAATTCTTACGTTCACGGAATAACTTACATCATCCACGTTACGATGGAAAACGGCACAGACGCGCAAACGAGTCAAATGCTCCTGACCCATTAGGCGTACTTGTCTCCAGATTTGTTTGAGCTGCAGCATAAGCTCTGTATTATCATTGAGATCCAATTTGCACGAAATTCTTAGAGCACGTGCTCCGTTCACTAGTTGACAACCATACTCATATGTCCCCTATGAGTAATTAATTATCTGTTGTATTGACTTGATGTATGATATTTCCGTATTGTAACAGTAATTTGTAAATTATTTCACGTACCCTGGCTGTGTGTTGGAAAGATTGGTGTTCTTGTTTCTGCGTTTGGATCTCCACAACGTTACAGCCAATTTCGACGTGAGTACCAATCAAGACATCGTAAAGATCATTCAACCATTGTACAGCCTAAAAAATAATACTGATGTATGGCAGATCAAACTGGACAGTGAAATAGGACGTCCTGCCTCGAATAATATAACACTAACCTGCTCCGCGTCGCTTTCGTAAGTATAAATAAGTGCAGTTTGCTTCAACGTGAGCTTCTGCAATTCAACGCTATCGTTGAATATATTTTTCCTAGCATTAGTGGCATCTAAAATATCTTGAATATTTATGATATCCTCGCTGTACTCGATTTGGACGTCGCGACAAAGAGCATCTTTCACAGGCATGGACAAAACGTCCGATAACTTTTCACCTTCTTTGACTAGTTCACGCTCTAGTCCTTCTACTTGAATTTTCGGATAATCAGTTTTAAAAAATACCAATGGTTTTCATTTTGTCAAGTACTTGGCTCACCTAACTTTTGCTGATAATGTTCGAGCTTCTGTAAATTAGCTCCAGCCTTCGAAAAGTCATACGTCCTGTTTCCCATTATCAACTTGTCAAAAACTTCGCTAGTCTTGTCGAAATACTGAAAAATGAAAGTCCTGTTGTAACCATGAAAACAATGGTATAGATTAAGAGACGACACGACACTTCATTGTAACGCACCTCCGACACGAGTCGAAAAAACCTTTGAGAAGTTATAAGGACGTTCCTTCTTCTTTCGAGTCTCGTGGCAAAGCTTCTACAAACAAAATCCATAAAGTCCCTTTGAGACTTTAAATCTTCAGAAAGGTAATTACTTGGTATGCTATCTAATTTATGCAATAACTCGGCGTATTTGCCATACGCATCCTGTAAAATTTTAAGTATTCAACAAAGCTGTTTGTTCAATCAGCCGAATCGTAGAACCATTTTACGAATAAACTTACCCTACATTCTAATTCGATTTTTTCGTGTTCTATCCTTAATTCTTCGGAAGAAGCCACGTCGAAACCTATTTGGTAATGAGCATTCAGCATCGAATCGGCAGGACCTAGAATCCAGTTCGTCACACTTGCAACGCCTTCTTCGAGATTCTCGATATCCCTGAGGATGTCTATGTTCCTGTCCACATCGGACCATGTCCTATCAAGCTCCAGCTAAAACCACGTGGAAGCTTATTTAAAGACCTTTCGCAAATACACTTTATAAACGCGTGGAACATACCTGCTTCTGTTCGATAAAATCCATGAGATGATGGATCCTTTGAACTGTATCCAGAACATCCTGTGCAGTTTCTCGACTTATGGAACTTGTCAAGCTTCTACCTGAGAGAATATATATAGTACAATAATATCCCTATATTCATCTGGTGATAATAAATTGAGTGGTACCTATTTTAAGTACTCGCTGAGCTACCGCTTCCAAGTTCATTTCTCCGCTGGAAACCGAACTTTCGTCTGACTTTAAGGACATAAGTTCGCCACTTGTCAGCCTCTCTTTCTGATCGTTCAGCTTCGATATGAGACTTTCCGCATCCCTTAGAAAGTCATCGATACGCTGTAATCATATTATTTGAATTCCAAACAATATCCACGGATGAAATTCCTTATCCGTACTTTTCATAGAATTTAATGCGGAGCAGAGAACTGACACGAATACAAATGGGAAAAATAAAAGCAAAGAAAAGAAAATAATGAATAAGCAGGCTTACCACGCGGTTTTGTATCCAGGCGGTGTGGTCATAGGACTTGCTGCCACCCAGGTTGTACGTCAGCTGATTGGGATCGACGTAAGCGGAAAGCCGGCTCAGGGGAACGTAAATCGGCTGCAGCATACAATGAAAGGGCAATTTTTCTTTTTCTCTTAAGCATACATGCATAAACCTTTCGCCCAGCTTATGAATAAATACGTATATCGTGCAGGACGAGAATAAAGCGTGACTATTTTCATTCAAGCCTTACAAACTGTGTCTTTCCCCAACACCTACTGCATCCCTCGATGAATGTACATGCATTTATATTAAACGGTAAGACCAAAAACCTTTTTTCACCAAATTTGTCTGACAATCATTAATATACATTTTACAAAGGCTTGCGATTATGTGTTTCATAAATTTACGGCTGGGTGATAGATGGTGCTACTCTATATTTTGGTTGAAAAAATAGCTGATTCGGAGAATTGTGTAAGGGCAACTTAGTATGATTTTTAAAACGAAAACATCAATACTCCCACGAAGAAATAAAAAATTTTTCTGAACCAGTTGCTTCATGAACCTAAACATGAATGTTTCTTCGATTCAGCCATACCAGTATATTGTATATCATTGAAAGAAAATCCAAGCTACATGCAACGACAACCACTAGGCTGCTTTCAACATGCATTATCGAACGCCCACGCCACGCTTACGAGCCAATCAAGTGATAGAAAGTCCCTTCCCCCGTCGGGAAAAAAAGTCCCCCTCGTGGAAAGCTCGCACGCGAAAACGAGCACGCACACGCGCGAGTAGGTCAACATCGAAAGTGCAAACTGCGCGCCACCGACCTCGCCGTCCCGATGGGACTTGGTGCAATAATTGTCGACGCGCTGCTTCTCCCAAAAATTGTCGGGTCTCACGGCAATGATCGCTGACACGAGATTGCCAAGGTGCTCGCGGGCCTGGCGAATGCAGGTCCTGCTCGAGCGGCATGTCGCGGACCGCGCGTCAACCAGCAGTGTCAGTCCGTGCGATTTGGTGTCCTCGCTGTCAACAAATCACACCTTTAAAGCGTACGCTTATTGCCATTTTCGGTCATACCGATCTGATGACGATTTCACCCGAACGATAGGTAGTTTCGAGCGTTGACTCTACCTGAAGATCGACAAAAAGTACTCGAGCAGCGATTCTAGGTGCGTGCGGGTGATCGGTAAGGGCTCGCCTGCTGGGATGTCGAGCACGATCAGCGGCCGATCCTCCCTGTCTCGACCACCTGGTACGTAAGCTACCTCGGTCTCGAGGGCCTCCAAAATATTGGCCGCCTCATTCTTCCTCTCCATATCTTCCCTTCGCTTAGATCATTTCGGTCTTTTGTGCGTGTGTTCTAAAAAAAATTTCCCACGTTCGAGATTTCTTTCAAAAATTTTAAGTTCTTAGACTAAGGAAAATGTGGGGTGTTGACTGAGTTTGGCCAAAACATTAGTTTACGTTGTCCACTCGGGTGTGAGTGAATGGTTTAATTTAAAATATCAATTTATGCGTGTGCTCGCTTCGAAACATTGTCGTTCTTATTTTGCATCTAATTTTTGTTTTTCTTCTTCGCACGATAATGATACTATCACTGAGCTTACAAAAGACACATCAATGTCTCCAATTATTTAATTTCACTTCGGACAATGTTTTAATTCACTAAAAACCAAGTAATTAAACAAAATTAAAAACAAAACCACCAATGATGGATTTTAAGTACTCCATTCACAAAAATTATAAACGCACAACGTACACTGCTCCAAAACATACCGATATCCAACAGAGCACATCACATCACAGCATCCACCGTCACGGTGTACGACAATTTACACTATGTTGATCTCCGACGATCATCTTCTTCCATCACCATGACGATCTTCTTCACAGCTGATTCGGCAAGCAACGAGCCACGAACGAGCGTTTTCCCGCACGCGCGCTCAAGCCAACTATATCCACTGCACTGCTGGAGCCGTACCACCTTCGCCTCCTCCTCGTGTGACCGCGTTTCTACCTGCAAACCTTCAGGGGACGGCGATCCCCTTCTCTCTTTGGCTTTTTTCTTCCTTTACTACCGTCTCCTACTCTCTTAGATGCACGCTCCTTCAGGCGCACCTTTCTCTCGCACCATACCGATCCCTCCTCGCTCTCCTCGTTCTCCCTCTTTCACTCCTGTTTTTCCCTTTTTGGCTTCCCTCTCTTTCTCTTCGTTATAATTTTTCTCTCTCCAGACCGCTCCCGCTGTACCATTATCTTCTATACACACGCGATCTTGCATTGTTGCGTACTTTTAAGTTTCACGCTTAGGAAGTAGCCGAGGCGGATTCATTTGTCTCAAGGATTTGCGCGTGTCTATTTTTTAGGATCTTCAAAGAACTGTCAGGGACTTGATGCTTGTGATGATATGGTGATACGTTTTTTCGTTAATACATACTATATATTAATACCAAAAATCATCAAACCGATTTGATTCGTTTTTCAATAGGTGAACAAACATGCCGTATGAACATCTATGAAGTTAAAAACTCGCATTGAGGACTTTTATTACAAATTACTTTTTTAAGTTATCGACGAGGTAAACCGAGCATCCTCTAGGGCGAATGAGCTTCGTGTGACTTTGGCAACTTCGCAACCAGAAAACGAAACCTGTCCCACCACAATCGGCGTATCGTATGACAAGGTAGCCACCCTTTTTTTTCGTACCACTGTAAGTTGTTTCAATCACATCATTTTCACTCTTATTGAAATAATAAAACGTATGCTCGAAAACAATTTCTTTAGAAAAACGTCATGATAATATGTAAATTTTAATGCCAAGATATTACCCACAAGTTCGTTCTGCTGGTTTGGACTTTTTCTCTTTGTAAGTGTGTCAACTGGAGGATGTTTACCCATTCTATGTATGGGTCATTACCTATTTCAGGTAACGAAAACATAGGACTTGTTTTACTAGGTACTAACGAAACGTTGGAAAATTAGCTACTCATAAAAAAGTTTCTCTTTCCAAGAAGTAAAAATAGAACTGATTGACTATTATTAGCATGACCACGTTTTCATGACGTTTTGGAAAATCTTAGAAATTCGATTACTGTGGTAGAATCAATTGGCTTAGAAAAATCTTATATTCTTGTAATTGAAGAGAAATGTGTCACAAAAAGTGCCGTTTTCTCTACGTGACAGAAAGTGCTTATCATGGATTATTATGTGAAAAAATTACTACGATCCATCCGCCCTATTAAAAAGACTTTCACCTTTGGGAGGACGTATTTCGTAGAAGACAATTCGAAGCTCTAAAAAAAACTCAGAAGATATTCAAATTATAACCCTCGTGCCCTTTAGCCCATTATCTTTAAAGAGTAAACTCCAGCAAAATCACCTTTACTCCCCACGCAAAGCCACTTACGGCTCCAAACCGTTTAAATGCACGCTCATTGCGTGATACACGAATCGACTTGCAAAACTGACCGTTTCGCACATCATCATCATTATCAACGACCACTTTGTTCCGTCACGTGTTGTGTCCAACTGAACGAGAAAAAAGGGGCATCATTGGCAAAATAGGACGTTAGTACAGCATAATAATGAAAAACATCACGCAGACGCGCGCAACAAGAGTACAGGTGCAACACGAGTTGCAGAGTTACGGAGAAGAAAACGTGGACTCGCAAATATATATACATGATACGGAAGGAAAAGTGCGGTGCAACGGTACATCCCAGTGCCAATTACATGTGCCCGTGCTGAGAAACAAAAAGAGATGTACGGCCCTTCCTTCCTATCATAATATATCCACGTCCTTGTCTCGCATCCTTTTCTCCGGGCTCATTTTTTTCCATCCTTCGTTCGAGCACGCGGGTACTTGTATATATCGTCTTTCGCTCGTTTTCTCTCTCTTTCCCGTTTTCTTCTGCCAGTGCCGCAACCTGTTTTTCTTCTTTTTCTCCCAGTCTGTCTCTTTTTTTTTTTTTTTTTTTTTTATTCGTGAGGCTTGTATACGCAGTGGCGGTGGATGCTGCTACTGATGTCTTTTTCTCTGTCTCTTTTTATCGGTCAAGTTTCGTGCATAAGAGAGTTATGGTACATCTGAAAGTTTCTCTTTTTCGAAATTTTTTTCTTTTCTTTTTTTCCTTCACTCATGGAAAAATCATGATAAATTTGTTTTTTTCTTTTTTTTCTCACTTTTCAAATTCACGAATCACTAAATTTGATGGTTACTGTCTACAGATTGTTTTTATCAAAATGTATGCCTTGAATTATGTCTAACTGCATGATTATTAAGATAGAGACATAAAACTGATTAATCCACATGGATAAACTGTCATAAATTGGTGCAATCGACTCTGAAATATCCATGGATACTTGAGATTTACGCTTTCAAGTATACATAGTAAAACTCGTTCATTTGCGGAAAAATTAATTGCATTAGGTGTCTTACCAAACAGAATATACATAACATTCTTACGTCGTTGAAGTGTGGTGCTGTGCAGAGCTCGATAGACCTGAAATAAATTTCTCAACTTATGTGGTAAGTAATTAAAATATCACCTTCCATCAACGTTAATGAAACCATCATGATGTACTTGAAATGAGTAATTATTAAGAAGAAGAAAAAACTATTTCAACAACTCACGATGTAATCATCAAAACATGGTTATCGTTATGATCGCACGATCTATGACAGCATATTTCATTCACGAAACATTCCTCTCTCTCTCTCCCATTCACTCTCACGTTTAGTCAAAAATTTTCTGTGATGTCACCCGTCGTGCCCATCCGGCTCCTCTGGTGTTCTTATACTTTGTGGGCCCAAGGACCAGCGAATAGACACGTGTGATCGAATAGACACACCTTAGCCACGTGTGGATAAAATCTGCGTGCTTTCTCTCCTTCCATATCTTTGTAGCGAGCGTGACTTGCTTGACTTGGTGCTCAAAGCCATCAAGCTGTAGTCTTTTAGTATAGACTATCGAGTTTGTAGAGTTGCAAGAAAACATTGAAACGAGCATTGGTTTAGAATTTTTTTTTCCAACAAATATTTATTTTTCTCAAGTTTTTGACTTCGACATTGATGTCAAGTATCGAGTATTTGTTATTTATTTAAGTAACAGTCCGCATTAATCGAGTAAAAAATTAGGAATTATCAGAATATTCCGGAATATTTGTTCTTTTCGATTTTCTGGACTGTATATTTATGCTACTATAACATTTTCTCAAACAACACATTTCCAATTACAATTAAATTTAAGTTTTTTCTCAATCACATAACCATCTCTTAAAATAGGACAGAAAAATAACATCTCCATTATGAACGTTATAAAATTTATTGATTGAATCATAGATATTACAACACTGAATGTGTAGTATTGATTAGGTATTTTTTACACATAACATGATGTGATTGAAGAAAGTATGCTAGTTCATCTTTGGTGTACAAGCCCAGTTAAGTAATGTTTTTTCACACAGATTTTCTTCTCTACACAAATGTAATAATGTTATTTGGACCATGTGGGAGGTTGAAATTGGAGAATGAGGAGATGATAAACGAAAGCGTACAGGATTGCACATAAAATCCCTGAGTATGCTTTTCTATCAAAAAATGATTTCTAGCTTGGACTACGTAAGACGGAAATACTTGTGTTTTTTAATTTTTATTTCTTCAATTTGAATTTAATTTTTCAAAAATTTCAACACCTAAGTTTTTTATTTACCATTAGACCCGTGAGGAAATTAGGATATACTAACAAATATGACTCGTGACTTAAGTTTTTAAGGAATAATGTAGCTAAATTGAATCAATACATGTTTATGTCTTTCTCTTTAAAAATCTTTTATTCAAACTCGTCACTCTTAAATTTTCGGACAAAGTTTGAAAGTATAGTAGTCAAACCACACATGTTTAAGAGGTCTATTAGGATATTTTTTGTTTTAAAATTATAAGAGTACAAATTTCAATGTTACTGCAGTCCTTCAAGTAATGCTGAAACTTCATAACATTTTTATTAATCTTTAAACATAGGTCTTCGATTTTATATCAAAAAAAAAAAAAAAAAAAAAAAAAAAAACCAAGATTAAGAATTAGAACAAAGTGGAGAGTGTGGTCTACGTCTGTAACGTAATTTCGTACAGTACCAACCTTAAGTATCACGACCAATATACTGAACCTGAATCCCTGAAAATAATTTTGTTCCAAAAGTATGAAAAACCAAAGATGAAAGAACCAGATAAGCCGATAACGGGGACTTTAGCGAACAGGTGAACGCGTAGCAGCTCATCAGCTGCTGTAGCTGTAGCAGATGGATGCAAAGAGTGTAGGTCAGTGACCGATGGTGACCAAATCTCACGTGTGGTACAAGAGTGGATGAGAGAAGAGAGTGAGCGAGCCAACGGGAAGACGAAGAAAAAAAAGTCCGTCTCGCTCCTTCGACTCTATTCGCTCTTGGATGGACGCAGGTACCTACGAGCGCGTACAGAATTTAAGTTTTGCAAATTAGTTGAAAGTTGTTAAGTACGTAAACGGAGTTTTTTTTGTAAGGACAGAGGAGGACAAGGTAGTACTAGGATTCCACAATGACGTAAGACTTTTTACTTTTGGATCTGTTAGAAGCTGACGCCTATAACGAGGATGCAAATTTTTTAATGTTTAATTAGTACTTTGGGACGAGTTAATTGGGTATTCCAGAACAAATGTTTGTTTTTCTAAAATCCAGCCCTAACAAAGTGCATTAGAAACAAAAAAGGTTTGATGATAAAATTTCTCGAAATGAAAGTAAATTGATTATACGTTAAACTAATGATGTTATATGAATTGCAATGGTTCAAAATTTACAATTATATAAACTTAATATTCTTCTAATTTTATTCTAAAATGAAAGCAGTTAACGTTGGTTGAGGACAAAAGTATACGTTGACAGCATTATTTTCATTGAAAGCTGAATTAGAGAGGTGGCAATGTAATTTTTTGGCTAACACTACTGGAAATGATTTCAGTGATAACAACACTAGTGGAATTACTTACGGTTCCTCCTATTTGTGGTTCACATAAAAATGTGTATGGAAGTCCAGTCGGGTATGTCTGACGTTTAATTGATGATCACATTAATGTTTTACGATAATAAAGACACTATTTCGTTTCGTTCTTTCTGATTCATTTTTTGTGGTTTATCATAGTTGCATTTTTTATTGGACAAAAAACATTTTCGACAAAGGTCAAAAAGAATAAAATCCGTGGAAGATTAATTACATACATCTGATTTATTCAAATAAAATATAGTCATTACATAGTACATCCGAGTGAAGCATTTTCACTTTCGAAAAGAAATACATGCGTTCTCGAATAAAAACAAAAAAAAATTATGTACTGTGCCACACGACGTCGCTATCAAAGAGTTTGTGATACTTGCACATGTTCGTATAAGGTTACAAATAAAAAAAAAAAAAAAAAAAAAAAAAAAGACAAAAGTACTTATGGTACAGATCAGCTATAAAAAAAAGGAAAGGAAAAAAATAAAGGAAACAAATCTAAAGAAAAGAAATGTCTTCTCTCAAACATTAAGAATTATTTTATATTATATTCGTGTATGTATTCTTGATAGAATCTTAAGTAAGGCCAAGTCCATTGATGCTCTTAGTGTAATTACATGCTCAGCATTATAAGATTTACAGTTTTTTATATATGATTGCATTGAAAATCGATGATGTACGTATTCGCAGTCAAATAATCATCTCGTTACTTAAAACAATTATAAAAAAACAGAAAAGAAAAAATGACCCCTTTAGTTAAATACTCGATAGCGATGTGCTTTTGATCTCTGTCTCACGAAAGAAAGAAAGAAAAATCAATGAAAAGCACACCCTCAACCGCAATGAAAACCGACACCCGCGGGTCGTCGTGGCGAGACAATTTGTAAAAGGGATGATTATCAGAAAGTTGCTCGTCTTCTTTGTTTCATCCTTATTTTGCGACCACTGACTCTCCCTCCTTTTTCCAGTAATCAAAAGTTTTTTGGATTCGCTCTTTGTCACTTGGCGCCACGCTAGTCACATTCTTATCCACTTGCGAGGCATTGTCGTTGCCGTTACCGTGATGTGATTTATTGGGGTTATGCTGATGGTGGTGTTTGTTGCTACCATTGCTGGATTCTGTTTCCAGCTTCTCAAACAGCTTGGCCGTCCGGCTGACGGTGCCGGTTTGTAGGAACGGACGACTGCGGCTCGGCGATCCGTCTAACCTCGAGCTCTCACCCGATTTGGCTAATAGGGATAAAAAATTGTAAAAATTTTATTCACTTTGACGGCAAAAATGTGTCAATTGTAGTTAATCTTTATATAAATTGTAGTTAATATTTTTAATCAAAAGTACGTCAAATAACGTTACTTTGTACTAACAATGTAAGAATTATGTATATAGTACAGCAGTATTTGTTAGAAAACAATCGCTTTTGTTTAATGTTCAACTTTAAAGGATTTTCACCATATTTTTTATCAAATTTAATTGTGGTTTATAGTTTAAAAAATTTTACGGCCATTTTCTGAATTTCTAAGAAAAATAATGTAATGAAAAGAAATTTTTTCATGCACATAAAGTTAATGACATCATTCAATAAAACAATGCAAATTAAAAAAAAGAAAAAACAAAACAACAAAGTAACAATGATAATGTAATGGTTAAAGTAAAATCAAAGTCCACCAAAAACTCAACAAACCTTCAAACTGCGAATTGAGCCTGTGAACATTACGTCTAGACTGTTCACGACCAACATCAGAATCTTTGTTAACTTGAAAGATCGACTTGTCTTTAGTTGTTTCCTGACTGTTAGATTTCTTAAAATCTGCCTTAACAATTTTTGGTGATTTTGTTTGATTAATCCCTTCAAACATGGAAGAAGTTGCAGATACAAATGTAGTTGCACTGTTACAATTGATATCTGAATCCAAAGAAGAGTTTCTTACATCCCGAATTCTGTTAGAGTGTGAGAAATTGATTTTTTCAGTTTCCTTCGTTTGTGAGTTATTATCTATATTGTTAGCATCGTAAGCCTTTTTGTCTCCAGATAAATCAAGAAGGTTATTTTTCTCTTTGTCCTTATCATCTACGTTTGAAGATTCGTTTCTTTCCAACTCTTCGTCTTGCTCCGTTACTTCTCTATACTTTTCTTTCAATTTTATTTCAGTATTCGACGTATCTTCATTTTTATTATACGAAATACCATCCATATCTGGTAGATTCATTGTTCCCGTCACTTCAACCGAAGAATTGAGTTCCTCATCTGGTTCTTTTTCAATTTCTCCTTCACAAGAACTATTCGTCCTATTTTCAGCCAGAAATTCAAAATTATTTCGAACATCTTTTTCCAAACTAATCTCACAAATGTCTTTTTCCGGTTCTTTATGAGCCAACTCCTTGCTGGATGATACAAAATCACCTTCAATTCCATTTTCTTCTTCCTCAAAGTCTTCAACCTCGTGCTTGTATTTGGAGTCCGTGACGGAATTTTTGCGTTTATCAAGTTTCATAATAACCACTCCATCAGAGGCAGAACGTCCCAGTGGACGATGTCCCCCTTTACCAAAACTGTCATCGTCAGTCTCGGATTCCATGGATTCGTTACTGGACATGTGGCTCAATTGGCGCGTCGTCGTGGATGATACAGAGGAGTCACGTCGGTTTGCCGATAGCATTACCAAACGTCCAAGAGCGCGAAGTGCGTTGCCCGTTTTCTAGAGCAGTTAACAAAAAGCCACACGACCACACATACATACACACGCAGTGTTAGGATTAGTTGAAGCTCATGTCATGCAAATTTTTTTCAAAATCAGACATTAAAATAATTCAATTTTATATAAATACAAATGTTCCAAAAATATTACAGAACTATGAATAAAGTCAGAGAGTAAATTACTATCGTCAATATTATTAGAAAAATTTTTAAATACAGTACAGCTGGTATAATAATTGTTTTTTGCCCTCAAAGAATGACGTCTTCGTATTGTGCAGTTGATCGTTTCAGAGCTAGGTAGGACAATAAAAAACTATTTGTTTCTGTATTGCAACGTAACAGTGGCATTCCCAGTCATAATGTGGTGTTCTATTGTCATTAGCCTAAAAAGGTCTACGAATGTTAGACGTAATTTGCAAAACAAAAACAGACCATTTTTTATTATATTACCTGACCCTGACACGATCAACTGCTCAGTATAAAGAACACGTATGTAATTATTGATCTTGATCAATGAATTCTTCTAAAATTAACATTTTTTTGTCATCGTTTAGATCTTAAAACAGTTTGTTGAATTTTGAAATTTCATTAATATAATACAATATTTCTGTAACATTTCTTGCATTCATGCTTGTTACTAAACGGACAGTGAGAAAAAAACTCAATATCAACAAAATCTAAAAATTTAGCACTTAAAAAACAAAATGATGTCACCAGTGTACGAACCTGCCACTTTCTTCTAACAACGAAAGTCTTGAGTTTATCCTTGGGTAGAACCACTCGACTCATGTTTTCCATGTGTTGTGCCAACCAGGAGTGACTAAGGCATTGTTTAGCGGACATTCTCAGTCTACAAAGTTACGAGAAAGTAATTACCTTAATTGGCATTATACTCTACGTGGCAGCAAAATAAAACGAGTATGTACCATAATGAAAAGAAGAATTGCAAAAAAAAATTTTAAACACATTTTTTAATTACTACATTTTAGCAATATGAAACGAAATTGGTGTGTTAGCTTACTCTTTTTTCTTTTGAAGCAAGTTGCTGATAAAATCCTTAGCATCTGGCGAAATAGCATCAAAAGATTCGTCCTCAAAGTCGTAGTCTGCCCGTACTATGTTCGAGAAAGTTTCGGCATCATTGGAGCCCATAAACGGTGATAACCCGGTCAGCCTTAATAACAAAAAAACCGAAATTACTTTGTGCACACGTCCATGTTTTACAAACAAAATAAAGACACTGTACTCACAGAACGTAACAAATAACACCGACGCTCCACATGTCTGACTCTGTGCTGATTGGCTCGTAATTGATGATTTCTGGAGGAATGAATTCAGGAGTTCCAAAAAGCACTCTCGTTGGCTTTTTTGGAGTGAGTATCTGTGCCAGGCCAAAATCGATAAGCTTAATTCGATGGGACGTCCTTGTATGGCACAAAATATTTTCCGGCTGGAAAAAAAAACAATACGTTTATTTATGTCAATTGAAATAAAAAGTCAAAATTTCATGGAAGATCATAAAATAAAAATTAATGCAGAACATATTTAACAGCTGTAAATAATACCTTCAAGTCCAAGTGAACGACGTTGTTCTCATGCATGTATTTAACGCCCTCGCAGATTTGCCTCATAAAGAGAATGCTGTCCTTCTCCGTTAATGTAAAATCGTCCGCCACGACTCTTTCAAAGAGCTCACCGCCAGATATGCTAAATAAACAATAATTAATCACTCATTATAATAATTAGTTAGATTTCGACGATCAGCAGGTCATTTTTTCCTCGGAAATAAATAAAGCGAAAAAGTTCAGGTGACTATACGATATAATGGTATGTATTTGAGCCAATGTCAATTGCTAATTTTGATACTTGAGTCCTTTATTATTGTATCGAATGAAATCAAAGTATTAATGTCTCAAGTATCGGACGAGGGCAAGTGTCTACCGACAAAAAACTTACTATTCCGTGATCATAACGATCTCCTTCGGACTTTCAAAGGCTGCGGTCAATCGAAGTAGTTTCGGATGCCTCAGCATGTTCATGATCTTCATTTCTTCGCGAACTAGTTGGCGATCAGAACTTTTTATAGTTCGCACGAACTTCGCGGCATATGGCTTTTTGGATTGATTTTCAATGACTCTCCTCACAACACCGTAGCGACCCTTACCCAATTCCTCGTGCAGCGAGTAACGTTCCTGAAAGAGGTGTCTCTCCTCTGAAACTACTATTTTTTTCATTGCATCGGGATCATCATTTTCTGAAAAATGATGGAGAAAAATAAAACTTTTTGTGTCTAGAAACATAACTAATTATTTATAAGATATATTAATAAAATAGTGCATATAAGCATTAACACGATGCAATAGTGTGTTTTAACTCTTTAGTTTTCATGTTGGTGAAGTTCAAGCTCCTTATAATCCCACCTTTACTAGTCTCTAATTTATTGACGTAAGCATATCCTTCATTCCAATATCAAGCCGATATTTGACACGAGCGAGTGTCAAAGTGTTTTAGTGATAGGTATTTACGATATTTGTTGTCCAAATATAAGAATTTCTTAAACGTTCATAATGTACGTTATCATATTGTAAACCTACGAAAAATATCAATGCTAAAATCAGTCGTAAATTACATCGTTGATTCTGCGTTAATCCAATCTTGAATATACGTTGATTCAGCATGGAATCAGCGTTGATTTAAGTCGACATACGACATTGCATTTGCAAGTCAAATAAATATTTTTCAAACTTATAACTTAAATTCTTTCAAGTTTAAAATAAATCAACGTTGATTGAACGCTAAATCAGCATTGATTCAACATGGAATCAACATAGAATCAACGATGTAATTCTCGACTGATTTCAGCGTTGATTTAGCATTGATATTTCTTATAGGAATTTATAAGTATTAATACATTATGCATTTTTATATAAGTATTATTATTATTATTATTATTATTACTAGTATTAGTATCATTATTATTATTATTATTATGTGCCCGGTACATCATTTTTATAGTTCTGCATGAAATGTGTCATAACGTAGTCACTGGAACGTAAACTAAACGTCGGCAAGTCGAATGAATGAATTAAAACATTTGGACAACAAATAATAAAAATTTTGATGACCTACAATTGTTGTAGTCAATTGAACCAAGTAATCGTTATTTGTTTTTTTAAATTAAATTACACCCAAAACTCAATCTCTCACCGTCCTCCATGATTGCAAGATCCTCTTCGACCTTCAGCTTGTTCACGGCATCATCCATGTCGATGAACGGCAACTTGAAAGGCCTGGATTCAGGACTGGGCTCACCGGGACCGTGCACGTTCACAGCCCGAACTCGAAACAGATAAGTCGCCCCGGCTCGCAGACCCCAAACCTCGTGGCCGAGGCTGTGGCAATTCTCGGCAACAACGCGCCAACTGAGCTCGCCTATACGACGATATTCGACCGTGTAACCCGTCAAGGCGCAGCCGCCGTCGTAGGCTGGCGAGCACCAAGTCACGTTCGCTCCGTACTCGTCTGTCTCGTGGCGCACTGGACTCACGATTGGCGGATCGCAGGGTGGCTCTGGTGGTCCTGTCACGCAAATTAATATCCATTTTTTATTTGATCGGGGAATATGTAAAAAAGATTTTTTTTTTTTCGTAACGTGTATGCTGATTTTGATAGCTCTAATCGGTGAAAACGGAACTTCTATCGTGTAAGAAAAAAAAAGGAGCTTGATTTAACAAGTGGAGGTAGATCAACATTTCTTGTTCTGCTAAGGATTGTTATGTTTAAAAATTCCCCGGCCATGCTCAAACAAGTTATCGAGCACTCATTAATTTACAATCATCAAACCGATCGGCTTCTTCTTTTCTATACGATTGCTTGGAGAGTACTTGACATTTTGGCACTTTTTACTTTCTTATTTAGGGACATTCAATCAATTCCGATCAATTCCCTATCATCTAAGAAAAATGCTGCAATACATTTGTGGTCAGATAAATAATCAGGAAAATTCAACGGTATTTTAAAACTATTAATGTTTATGAACATTTGAAAATAAGAAGCTCGCTTTCTAAGATGTGCAGTTTTAAAAATATTCATGAAAGTATCGACACTTGCTATTCTTTCACTTGCACATACTACACTTAAAGTATCATTTTTATATCCACGTTGTAGCTTTGATAATTCTTATGGATTTTCTTTTACAAGGATTTTAAGTTTATTGATCACTATTAAAAATATTGTTCAATTAAATTGTTGAAAATGTTAAACTATAATATAAAATATATGTGTTCTATCATTTAAATATCTACTTTACAATACCTCATGGTTTTCTGAGATGAAATAAACTTTTTAAAACAATGTATTGCGTGGATAGCTTGTACGATTTCTCAAATATCTGCAATTTTTCAGAGACTTTTCAATCCTGTAAGGTCTAGTTTTTTTATGAAACTAGTACTGATTTGCCAATAGGTAATTAGGTATTTAAGATAATTTGAAATGTTACTAATATGTGAAAAGGTGTTACAATACTATAAGCTGGTAATTATACATATACTGGTAGTTTCCATGCTAAACGTTAAACCTTAGATGAGGTAAGTGTCCCTATTCCTGAACCTTTCAATAGATTGTTTACTCACAATAATACGTTAATTGAATTTTTAACTGTTTTGACAAAAAAAAGGTAACTTTTAAAACCTATACTCAGCATTTTTATAAAGTTGTGAGACTAGTTTATTACATACCTGGGTCAGAAATAAACTAATGACTGATTGTACAGCAACGCCATATTAACAGTGGAAGTTTATTTTTTAGCCATAGTGCGTTTACGTTTTTTTTTACAGTTTAGTTACACACAATAAAAATTTTGTTTTCTAAAATTTAAAATTGCTGAATGTTTAACAAACACAGACAACACGAACTTTTAACAAGGTTATGCAAAAAAAAAAAAAAAATTACTTGACGTTTATCTTAAAAGCCACCTAAATCAATTGATGATATTACATTCGAAACAAATCTTATGGTTATCATTTCATTGATAAAAAAAAAAGTTTAAATTTGAATTAATGACTGTAACTTTTCAATATTTAGATAATCATAGTTTTAAAAACTTCTTTTTCTTTATAAATTTCTCAATAGGTTTTACTATCATCGATAATTAAATTAACTTATTTTATCACATCAAAATATTAAATACTTTTTATGTATACATTAAAGTCCTAATGAGAAAATCGTTGAAAAAGTATGGATGTATTAATTCGGTGATTATGATTTCAATTTGCTTTTTTCATTGAAGATAAGCAAAAAAAAAGTATAATGAATGAACTTTTGATGTGATTGATGAAATCAAATGTTTTAGCCTTTTTGCATTCTTATTAACATAAGTTTTATGTCGTACAAAAACAAATTTACCTAAAAACACATCGAATATTTCATGATATAACAACGTATTTATTAGTTAAAAATAAAATGCATACTAAAATTAATATTTAAAATCCGGCTTTACCAAGAGATACATTCTGCATACAAGGTAAAATATTTAAAACTAAAAATTTATCTAAGTATATATAAAGTGATTTAATGTTCATCAAAATAATGAAATAAAATTAAAATTGATAGTAAGTATAATAAAACCTTTTTAAAATATCAGTAGAGTTTGATAATTATTGAAAATAAATTTTCTTGCTACAGTAAATCGTAAATCTCACGTGATAATATTGGTGTAAAAATGAAAAAATGTACAAATGTTGATGAATATGACGGTTTCATTGAGTAAGAGTCGTTTTTCTCTTGTTTTTATCCCATCGAATATATCCACCATTTCATTGAAAATCAGTTTTCTTTCTTATATCGCATAATATATTTATTTCAGCATTTAAAAAGTTTTTCTTGAGTTTCAAGTGTTTTATAATTTTCAACGAAATCCACATTTCATTAAAACATTATTTAAATACACATATATTTAAAAAACTTAGTTATTTTTATTTACTGTTGCAATTGTTATTAGTAACTTAAAATAAATAAATCCAAGTTATAATGTCGGAGTATTTCACACTTTGTTATATCAATTCATACATCAAAATCCGTATTAAAAAACCATTTTGGGTTATCAAAACTTCAAATTCATTCAGCCGAGCATTTGATAAAAAATATTACTTAAAACTCATAGTGTGGAAAGACTTATCAACAAAATTTTTATCACTGTGGTTAATGTGGAAAAAATTGTATATTTATCTTTCGCTAGAAATCATTTGGATATGCCACTATTTCGTGAACGAGATGAAACTTCTTAATGTATTGGGAGTACTATTTAATTAGATATCTTTTTCCTTGCGTAAAAACTCAGGTAACGCTTACAATTATGGTAATTATATACATTACGACAAATATAGTACATGGAGGAATATACTGATTATCGAATTAATTTTTGAAAAAGTGACTGCGCAAGTAATTGTGTATTTTATCTTGAAGTAATAAGCCAACCAACTCACCCCAGCCCTCTTTGCACAGCTTTACAACGTACATTGTAAATAAGGCCTAGCAACGAATGCACTACGGGTAATGTCACTAATCACTGAGTCTTAAATTTATAAAATAGAAAATAAGTAAAATTGAATCGAAACTAAAATCTACGGCGCAAGAGTACACGCATCGAGCATTAAAGTATGTATGAAAACATGTGCGAACACACTTCTGTGGACTCCAGCTTTTGTCTAACTCTGTATACTACTATGCACAAGAATCTTCCTTTTATGAGGTGTCATCAGAGCCTTCTGAGGAACTGGACCGTGCATTTGTCTACTACTTTTCAACTCTTAGAGGTATACCTAACGTCAAGTCTTGAGTGTCTGCTCATTTTGCCTTTTCTATTGCAGTTCTTGCTGGCTATTTTAAATTATTTTCAAGGATAAGTGTGGGCTTATTTTTTCGACTTTAAAGTGGTTTTTGGTCTCTCTCTACAAAAATTAGCACGAGACTCAAAAAAATTAGTTGACTTAGTAATGATAAGAATTTAATGACAAAATGTACGAAAAAAAAAAAAAGTTAATCTAAACATTTCTCACCTTCAACGGCTACGCTGACAAATCGGCAATCACTTCCGAGGGCGTTTTCTAATGCAATAGCATACTTTCCCGCTTGGTCAGCTGTGATATCATTGAGAGTCAGCCTTGAAAGTCCTGCGCCACTTGTGATGTGTGTCCTCTCGTCTAGCACCAGCTCACGACCCTGCAACATCGGTCATTGTTATTTATTCGTTTGGATACACCGTCTTTTGTACAGTTAGAAGATAGTTCTGTCATACGAAAAAAGGTTTTGGCAATAACAAGAGAACAAAAATGTTTTTGAGGTAATTTAGAAAAAACCATATTTATTCGACTCTTAAGATGTATTTGTTCCTATTTTAATAATATGATGTATGCAAGTAAGTATCTATTAGGAATTTATCCACTTTATTTATATTTTAATACAATTTAATTGCATTCTTAAGTATATAATATTGTTTTTATATTAATATAAAAAATTATTTTTACTGTATCACTTATTAAGTTTTACTCATGAGTAAAATAATCTTTTTTAGATGGGAAAAAACCCAAATAAATGTTTTGATTAAATATTTTATGAGTGATGAGTTGTGGATATTTTAAAGGTTCCTACTTATAGAATAGTTTTGAGCTGGTCTCACGGCAGTCGTTCGAGGATCAAATTTAGTTATGACATCTAAATTATTGAGTTTTTCTTGCATTATTTTGTAATTAAATGTTTATTTTAGTTACAAAATAATGCAAGAAAAATGCATAAGTACAAATAAAACCTTAGAAAAATAAAAAAATAAAAAATTTTGTATCTTAATTAAATAGTCTACGACAGATAGGTTACTCCAATTTTAGGACTGTAGCTTATAACAAGCTGTATCACTACAGTGTTAGTATTAAATTTAGGTACATACGATGCTATTGATTTATCTGTATTCTATTTTTCAATAAATTTTTTTGAAACCAAAGAAAAAACTAAAAATCAATGAATTCTCCATAAAAAGCATGCAGTTCATCCCCCAAGTTTGTCCAAGGGCTTTTAACGAGAGAGCAATAAACAAGCA